GCAGGCCACGGCTTTATCCACTATGCCACAGTGCTGGCCTCCAATCTCTGCAATTTTTAATGTGTCAGATAAAATAAGATTATATTTTTAAACAATTTCCTTCCTTTTTAAGGCTGAATAATATTCCTTTGATTATACATGCCACATTTAGCTTGTCCATTCTTCTGTTTATGGACAGTTGGGTTGCTTCCAACTTGTGGCTGTTGTGAATAATACTGCTGTGAATATTGCTCTATTAGGTATCTATTTGAATGCCTACAGCAAGTTCTTTTGGGTAAGTGTATATTTGGGAACGAAATTCTGCATCATATGTAATTTTATGTTTGACTTTCTTTTTTAAGACTTATTTAATTATTTGAAAGTCAGAGTTAGAGAGAGACTGAGAGAGAGAGAGAGAGAGAGAGAGAGAGAGAGAGAGAGATCTTCCATCCACTGTTTCACTCCCTAAATGGCCACATGGCCAGGTCTGGGCCAGGCTGAAGCCAGGAACCAGGAACTTCCTCCAAGTCTCCCTCGTGGGTGCAGGTGCCCAAGCACTTGGGCCATCTTCTGCTGCCTTCCTAGGCACATTATCAGGGAGCTGGATCAGAAATGGAGTAACCAGGACTCAAATTGGTGCCCATATGGGATGCCAGCACTGCAGAGAGTGGCTTAACCTGCTGCACCACTGCACTGGGTCCTGTGTTTGACTTCTTAAAGAACCTCCAAACTGTTTCCATAGCAGCTGCACTATTTTATATTTCTATCAGTAACACAGAGTTAAAGTTTGTTTACATCTTTACCAACGTTTGTTATTTGGGGGGTTTTATTTTTAATAATAACCAGAGTAATGGGTATGAAGTGATATCTCTTTGTGATTTTAATTTGCATTTCCCTAGTGACTAGTTATGTTGATCATATTTTTATATGCTATTGACCATCTTGTATCTTCTTTGGAGATATGTCTATTCAAGTTCTTTGCACATTTTTTTAATAAGGTGGTATTTTTGAGATTTTTTTTTGTTTAGGGCTTATTTATTTTGGAAGTCAGAGAGAGAGAGAGAGAGAGAGAGAAAGATCAATCTTCCATCCACTGGTTCACTCCCCATATGGCCACAATGGCCAGGACTGGGCCAGGCTGAAGCCAGGAACTAGGAACTTCTTCTGGGTCTCCCACGTGGGTGTAGGGGCCCAAGCACTTGGGCCATCCTTCACTGTTTTCCCAGGCCATAGCAGAGAGCTGGATTGGTGCCTGTTGGGATGCTGGTGTCACAGGTGGCAGCTTTACCCACTATGCCAAAATGCCATCCCCTTGAGTTGTTTTTATATTATTTGGATACTAATCCTTTATCAGATATACGATTTGAAAATTTTTTCTCTCCCATTTTATAGGTCATCTTTCACTCTTTTTTTCCAGGCCATAGCTAGGAAGCAGGAACTTCATACGGATCTCCCACGTGGGTGGCAAAGGTCCAGGAACTTGGGTCATCTTCCACTGCTTTTCCCAGGCCATTGGCAGAGAGCTGGATTAGAAGAGGAGCAGCCATGGTCTCAGTTCTTCCTTTCATGAAAGAATACAGGCTACTAGCGTAAACTTAGTCTCTTGATATTACTTGTAGTTTTTTTTTTTTTTTCAGTATAAAATAACTAATTAATTCTTGCAACCAGTGATATAAGATTAAGAGGAAGGTAAGCATTGGGAGTTAGCATGGTTTTGGCTGTGTGGTTAAGATAGAAATACTTGGTTTCTGAATTAGGCTAAGCCAAGGTAATAGTCTGAAATAGCCACTCTTATGGGATCAGCTATTTTGAAGTCACTGTCAGTTGACTGGGAGATATAATTTCTCCAGGCCATCATCATTGGGTCGCCTTCACAATGCATTGCTCTATGTGGAGAGCTGGTGTAGTAACTTCTTCTTGCTTTTATTTTGAATATTCATTTGTTTTTAAAATGTTCAGTTCAGTAGTTTTGTCTTTAAAGATCTACTTATTTATTTGAAAGTCAGAGTTACAAAGGGTGAGACAGGGACAAAGACAAAGAGATTTTCCATCCATTGCTTCACTCTCAAATGGCCTCAACAGCCAGGCCTGGGCCAAGCTGAATCCAGGAGCCAGGAGCTTCTTCAGGGTCTTCATGTGAGTGGCAGGGGTGCAAACACTTGGGCCATACTCCACTTTGTGGGGAGCAAACCGGACTAGACTGAGTTACTGGAATTAAGACTTATTCTATGCATCTGCTCTCCCACAATGTGGCGTTGGGAGAGAAGTAAACAGCTTCCGCACAGCTGCCTCCAGTTCAATCAATAAACTGTAGGACTTGCTCCTGATTGGAGAGCAGCGTACTCGGCGTGTGGGCAGCCGAGTTGGGATTGGCAGAGGAGGACTATAAAGGAGGAGAGAGACGGCATGCACCAGGAACATCTATGGGGAACATCTAAGGGAACCCGTGCAGCCCCCGAGAAAGCCGGCCGGCGGTGTGCCGCTCCCCTGCGGAAGTGGGGAATGCGGCCAGGGGGAACTGCCCTTCCACGGAGGTGGAAGGGATAGTAGCCAACCCGGGAAGAACCAGCAGCAAACCCGGGAAGGGCCGAGCAGACGAAAAGAACAACGCAGGGTCCTGTGTCGTTCCTCCACGAAGACGGGGAGCGACACACTTATTTTCCCAGGCTCATCAGCAGGGAGCTGGATCAGAAGTGGACACAAAATGGTGCCCATATGAGATGTTGGCATTGCAGGCGGCAGCTTTATCTGCTATGCCACAATGACAGCCCCAATTCAGTAGTTTTAAGGTTATACACAAAGTTGCATGAGCACCACCATTTTCTAATGCCTAAACATTTGGGTCACCCCAAACAGAAACCCATACGCATTAGCACTCTCCTACTTGCCTCCTCCTAGCACCTGTAAACCATTCATCTACATTCTGTCTCTAAAAACTGGCCTATTGTGGACATCTAATATTTGTGGGAATCCTATTGTATGTGGCCTTTTGTGTCTGAGTCTTCCATTTAGCATAGTGTTCTCAGGGCACATCTACATTGTTGCATGCAGCAGTGCTTCTGAGGTTCTTCCTGATTCCAGTTCTTTACTACAACCTGGGTGCCATACAATTCAATTCACGGCTGACACTAATTGCTGGGTTAGCGTAGACCCCACAGATTAAGAGCTCAATCCTACAACTGCCTGTCTTCACATGCCAGGTGCAAATGAGGTATCCAGGCTATCCACATTTCTAACCAGCCTACCACAGGTGTAGGGATTCCCATCATGGCCTCTCAGCTTCAGTAACTCAAGGGAGCACTTTACTTACTGTAACCAGTTTATTACAAAGAGTGTAACTCAGGAATTTCCAAATGGGAGAGATGCACCAGACAAGGCATGGGAAGAGTGGTATGTGATGCATCCTTGCCCTTTCCAGAGCACAGTTTAATGTGTTCACCATCCTGAAAGTTCTCCAAACTCTGTCAGTTAGAGGTTTTAAGAAGGTTGCGCTGCATAGGCATGACTGGTTGAAACATTGACCATTGGTGATTGAATTGAACTACCCCTTCCTGGAGGTGGGGGGTGGGGCTGAAAGTTGCATCTCTGTAATCATGACCTAGTAGGCTGGCTCCCATCCAGAAGCTCTCAACACACACACACACACACACACACACACACATGCAAATACACTTATGTCGCCTCATTAGCACCAAGTCATGTATGATTGAAAAGAACTAATGGTGATTACAAAGGACACTTCTGTCATACTCATTACTTAATAAATTCCAAAAGTTTTAGGAATTCTGTGCCAGGAACCCAATAAAAAGAAAAAATATGTATTTCTTCTTTAAAGATATATTTGCTTGAGAAATGGAGAGTTAGTGAGCGAGAGAGAGAGAGCTCCCATTTACTAGTTCACTCCCCAGATATATACAATGGCCAGGCCAGAGCCAGGAGCCTGGAACTCAATCCAGGTCTCTGATGTGGGTGGTAGCAACCAGTGTCTTCAAGCTTCTGCAAGCAGGAAACTGGAGTCAAGAGCTGAAGCTGAGTATTGAACTGAAGCCACCAGTCTAAATACCTAGTCCAAATATATGTCTTCATAAAGTTGTCCCTTGGCATCTACAGGGGGTTAGTTATAGGGTCCCCTGTAGTTACCAAATTCATAAATGCTCAAGTTCCTTATATAAAATGACATAATACTTGCATATTATCCATACTTTTAATATGTCCAGATTACTTATAATATCTAACACAATGAAAATATTTTGTAGGGCTGCCACTGTGGCACAGTGAGTTAAAGCCATGGCCTGCAGCACAGGCATCCCGTATGGGCTCTGGTTTGTGTCCTGCCTGCTCCACTTCTGATCCTGCTCTCTGCTATGGCCTGGGAAAGGAGTAAAAGTTGGTTCAAGTCCTTGGGACCCTGCACCCATGTGGGAGACCCAGAAGAGACTCCTAGCTCCTGGCTTCAGATCAGCACAGTTCTGGCCTTTGCGGCTGATTGGGGAGTGAACCAGCAGATGGAAGACCTCTCTTTTTTTCTGGTTCTGCCTCTCTCTGTAACTCTGTCTTTCAAATAAATAAAATAAATCTTTTAAAAAAAAGAAAGAAATGCTTTGTAAATAGTTGTTATATTGTATTGTTTAGGAACTAGTCATGAGAATAAGAAGGTTTATACATATTACAGACACAATTTTTAGGGGGAATATTTTCAATTTGCTCTTGGTTGAATCCAAGGATGTGGGACTCCTGGGTATAGAGCTGACTGTATATCACATTATTTCATTTCTTTGAATGAATAATATCCAATTGAATATTCTGCTGCACGGATATATCACATTTTATCCTCTGCTTAATGGACACCAGGTGGCTATCGTGAACTGTACTGCTGTAAACACTCAGGTAAGTTTTCACATTGACGTGTGTTTCCATTTCTCTTAAGTAAATACCCAGGCTCAAAGGACAAAATACAGCAATTTGGTTTAAAGAGCTTATTTGACTTTCTTTTCTTTCTTTCTTTTTTTTTTTTTTTTTAGAAAAAAACTTTTAAGAGGCAGAGAGTCAGAGAGAGAGAGAGATAAAGAGAGAGAGATCAGTCTGCTGGTTCACTTCCTGAACGCCCTGAACAGTGTCCTAGCCCGGACTGAAGCTGGAGGAACAATCCTGGGGGCCATCTCTGCTGCCTCTGGGGATCCACTGGATTCAGGCGCTGGAGCCAGGAATCAAACCCAGTCCCTCCCGTGTGGCAGGTAGGTGTTTCAGCTGCTAGATCAGAAGTCCACTCTGGCTTTACTTTCAGTTCTAGAACCAGGTAACATACATTCCACAAAATAAATGTTCTGATGAGCTGAGCAGAAAAGGTTGATTTTAGGCAAAGAGAAAGCCTGAGGAAAACAAAAACAAAAACTCACACAGTGGGTTGGTCCTTCAAAGTTACTTTCCTTCTAAGGCAGGACAGGGAGACAAAACAATGCAGAAGTGAGTGATTGGTTGACATCAGGTTACTTTAGGTTATCTTTCTTTGCCTAAGGATTAAGGCAGAGGGAGCCTCATTCCCATGCCAACTGACACTGGTTGATTTGGGAAATTTGACTGTTACCTCTAACTAATCCTGATTTGTAGGAGAGTCAGATCAACAGCTTCCTTCTGGTTGGTTATGCAGAATTTAGCATGTGTGACTTCATTTTGTTTTTTAGCTTCATCTGTGTAGAAGCTCAGTACACAACAATGACCTCCTATAATTTTAACGCTAGGGGTGGAACTGATGGATCCAGTGGGGAAAATGTGTCTTGTTTTGAGGAGACAAACTGTCAAAGTGTTTTTGTAGCTTTCTAAATAGATTTCTATTTAGATTTGATCTCCCCATTAACTTCATAAACTCCTACTTTGTAAATAGTTTTTTACTTTCCTGCATCTGCCTGTCTCCCCTAATGCCTCACACCAAGTTGGAACTCAGTGACTATTTGATATGAACAGCCAGCGCTGTGGCACAGCAGGTTAAGCTGACACCTGCAGTGCTGGCAAACCATATGGGGGCCGGTTCAAGTCCCGGCTGCTTCTCTTCCAATCCAGCTCTCTGCTATGGCCTGGGAAAGCAGTGGAAGATGGCCGAAGTCTTTAGGCCCCTGCACACACGTGGGATACCTGAAAGAAGTTCCTGGCTCCTAGCTTCTGGCTTCAGATCAGCACAGCTCCAGCTGTTGATTGCCATTTGGGGAGTGAATCAGCAGATGGAAGACCTCTCTCTCTCTCTCTCTCTGCCTCTGCCTCTCCATAACTGTGCCTTTCAAATAAATAAATAAACAAACAAATAAATAAATCTTTTTTTAAAGACAGTATGTTCCTGATCCCAGGAGTCAGTACCAAAAACTGCCTATGGTCAGCTGCTTGATAGGAACACCTTCTTTTGCTTTCCTTACATAGTGTATTGAAAAAATTCAGGCCACTGTTGGTGTGTGTGTAGTGTGGGCAATGGACAGAGCATGGTGATGGTAGACGGTGGTTGACAGTACAGGGCATAGCAGTGGGATTTGAAAGGAGTGGCTTCCCCTGCTCTTTCTGGTCAAGCTCTCACACAGATTCTCTGAGAAGATTAGAATCAGTTCTTGGCCGGCGCCACGGCTCACTAGGCTAATCTTCCGCCTGCGGCGCTGGCACACCAGGTTCTAGTCCCGGTCGGGGCACTGGATTCTGTCCCGGTTGCCCCTCTTCCAGGCCAGCTCTCTGCTGTGGCCAGGGAGTGCAGTGGAGGATGGCCCAAGTGCTAGGGCTCTGCACCCCATGGGAAACCAGGAGAAGCACCTGGCTCCTGCCATCAGATCAGCGTGGTGCGCCAGCTGCAGCAGCCATTGGAGGATGAACCAATGGCAAAAGGAAGACCTTTCTCTCTGTCTCTCTCTCTCTCTGTCCACTCTGCCTGTCAAAAAAATTAATTAATTAATTAATTAAAAAAAAAGAAAGCTACTCTTATTAAAAAAAAAGAATCAGTTCTTATTCTGAGTGATATGTGTAATACAGAGTTACAGGGGCAGAGAGGGAAAGAGAGAGAGAGAGAAAGAGAGTTTTCTATTCACTGGTTCACTCCCTAGATGGCCACAATGGCCAGAGCTACACTGATCTAAAGCCAGGTGCCAGGAACTTCCTCCTGGTCTCCCACGTGGGTGCAGGGGCCCAAGGTCTTGGGCCATCTTCTACTGCTTTCCCAGGCCATAGCATAGAACTGGATGGGAAGTGGAGCAGCCAGGACTCAAATCAGAGCCCACATGTGATGCCCGCACTGTAGGTGGCAGCTTTACCTGCTACGCCACAGCGCTGGCCCCTGGACTTGGCCTTTATAACCAACCCACTCATAAAACCAACATTCCAAGCACATGTGCTCAGCGACCCAAGGACATCCCACAAGGCCCACCTCCCAGACACCATAACCAGATCAAGTCTCCTCTCTTCATCCAGTAACCATTAACAAAAGACTTTGGGGATCAAACCTTTAATACATGAACTTTTGGGAACATTCAAACCCAAACTATTATCTACAACTTAATATTCAGTGAAGTGAAAGACCAGTGGAGGGAGACAGCATAGGGGCGTAGTGGGTAAAGCCGCTGCCTGCAATGCCAGCATCTCATATGGGCACCCTACTAATGTGCCTGGGAAAGCTGTGGAAGATGGCCCAAATGCATGAACCCCTGCACCCACGTAGGAGACCTGGAAGAAACTCCTGGCTCCTGGCTTCAGTCTGGCCCAGCTCCAGTCATTGCGGCCATTTGGGGTGTGAACCAGTAGATGGAGAAAATCTCTCTCTCTCTCTCTCTCTCTCTCTCTCTCTCTGTAACTCTGACTTTCAAATAAATAAAATAAACCTCAAAAAAGAAAGAAAGGCCAGTGGAGGCTGGCAAGCAGTGATTCTGATTTATACATCACATCCTTGCTAAAAGCAAACCACCAAAAGAATGACCCAATGGAAGAAAATGTGGACAAGCAAGAACATAGAAGAACTCAGAGGGCCTTACTCAACCAGGGACCCAAGAAGCATTAGAAATGGCCTCCAACAGAGGCTTACTCACCACCTGCGAGGCATTCAGGCCATGCAAGGTACTCGACAGGCTGCTACAGCCCCTCCCGAGGTTTGCCTGTCTGCAGGAGGGCAGGGAAGAAAGACACTTGAGCTCCTGAAAGCTAAGCACTTGGTTGCTGGTGAAACTGAAGGAGGACCTGAAGCAGTTCTGCTGTTGCTGGAAGGCGGACCCTTTTCTGTTCAGGCATACAACGACAGCCCGGGCTGGGGAATGTGAGGGAAACCTGCCAAGTTTACAGTCTGCCTCACTCAGCCTAGACGGCCTTTGAGAGAGGAGCGTATCTTTTGACTTTGCAGAAATGACACAGAGGAGAGAAGGAACATTTCTCATGAGTGTAACATGCAGACAGTGTCAACATGCCGCTGAATCTGTTTTGTTCTAACCGTGAGAAAGCAAGACTTATCCCCAAACAGAAAAGAGGTTGTAATTGTGGGGTTTTGAATTTAAGGAGTCCAGAATGGCTCCTCCAGATAAATCCATCTCTGCTAATCATTGTTTACCATTGCAGTATTCTTTTATTTATTCATTTTTACAATGAAAATGAACTTTTCCTGCTCGTAAAAAATAATACATGGTTAAAAATCCAAGCATGGGGAGCATTGTAGTTCAGAATCACACACATACACACACCCACATGTGTGCGTACACACAGGCACACACACATATACACACAAATTCATACATGTACATGTACAACGAGGAACATTCAATTAATATTAACTCTGTAGGACATTACCAGGTGCAACCACAGTGTGGGCGAAACCACTTCCCCAAAGGCAACATGTAATATTTCCTGGCCAAATGGGAATAGTGCTTTACACTTTTTGTGCAGTGTTGTGTCAGTCACTTCCTTTTCTCCTTTCCTTTCATGAGAACACAGGCCAGGAGGCCACCTGCACAAGGAACAGAAGGCTTTCCAGAGCTGTGTGCTGATTGATGGCTACATTGAGAACCTGAACCAGCTTCACAATAACCCCTGTTTCTGTACTTCAAGCCAATTCACAAGCCCAGGGAGACCCATCAGGAGAACAAGGAGGAAATCGGAGAGAGTGTCATCCATTTATCCAAGAACCTACTCCTGCGGTTAAGTGTGAGATGAAGGTAGTGGGAATCTTCCTGTCGGGGTTGGGAGTTAACAATTCATAGCTGAATTTTTACCTTTAGTTAATCTTGGGTAGTGGAATTTGGGATTTTTTTCATTCTACAGATTTTTCTGTATTTTCTACAGTGAATTTATGTCGCTTTTAAATGCTACACAGAGCATTTAGTATGTTAACCTTATCTTCCTAACTACAAACTCTCTCTCTCTCTCTCTCTCTCTCTCTTTCTTTCTTTTTTTCTTTCTTTCTTTCCTTCTTTCTTTTTTTGGTCTGTTTCCCATACCTACAATTTAGGGCACATGGCAGGCACTTAATAAACTTTTGTTGACAGTCATTAATTTGGAGTCTTTTCCATAGCTATTCCTGGGGGAGGAGATTACACAGACGAGGTCTTACCTGGGTCAGAATGACCCTTGTGGAACTCACTGCCGAGTAGGGTTGAACGAATTGTCCTAGACTGATCTCTCAGGCATGTATTTCTACTTCGAATGAGCGCCCACACTCAAGATGCTGTTCGTCAGGACCCTGCATCAGGATTCTGTTACGTGCTGTTATTTTAAAGTTTGGATTGTGTTTACTGATTTGGAATGGGCTTGCCACCCACAGGCTTACTACTGGATGGTGTGGAGGTTATTACTTCATCCAGGAAGCCTCCTCTGACTTCCTTACCAGAAACAATCTTTCCTTTGACTAAAATTTCATCAGGCATGACATTTACCTCCACATCACCCGCCACTCTCTAAGTGTGTTTTAGAGTTACTTATGTACACACCTAACCTTCTCTGCTAGAGTTTGTGTTTCCTGAGACCTGGACCCATCCCTCAGTTACTCTGTCCTACAACAAGATAATGACCAATCAAGTAGTTACTTGTGTGCCAAGCCCTTTATGTGGACCAGTGATTTAAACCTTACAACTACTTCCCATGAAGTGTTTTTGCTCTCCACAGTACAAGTGAAAAAAATCTGAAGGCCAAAAGGGTTAATATCCAGCATAAGCTCAGGCAGCTACTAAGTGATGGAGCCTAGACTGAAGCTCCAGTAGTGTGAGTGCAAAGTCTATACTCTCAGCTACTGGGCCACAGCAGCCCCTAGCAATGACCCTTGCACATTGTAGCCAGGAAAGATGCAGAAAATACCTGTTGAATTCATTAACACAGTGACGCAAGAATATTGGGCAGCTGATAGTAGACTTGTCTCAGTTTCAGCTAGTTCTTCTGACCGACCATATTAGGACAGCTAAGGCTCCAAAGGGTTTAGCAGTAAAATTAGGGAATATTGAAGGGTTGAGCATCCAGACCACTATGAAACCAAGATATACCAATTGCGCTAGTGACATTAGAATCAACCTGAGACCCTGCTCTACAATCCCATGCAGACTTAACTGAGTCAGATAACTTCCTGTTAAAGAGAAGCTATGCATCTCAAAAAACTAAATTATGTTGCTTATTAGAACCTTGGTGTTGTGTGTGTCAGGAGGAGATAGCAATAACCTCATGGGGCTACTGTGAGAGTTAGTGGGGGAATGTGAAGTACCCAGTTCAGTGCTTGGCACATAGCCTGAACTGCACACATACTGGCCTTCCTTTCACTCTTCCTTCACTCCCACTTTGCAGCAAAGTCGAAAGAAGGCAAAAAGCCAAGAGGAGAGATGAGTGGATGACAGCTGGCAACAGAGATGTTAGTCACATTCCACAGGGCTAAGTGATTGTGAATCAGAGGTGTCATGGCCCACGCCCAAGATTCCCCAGAGCAGCCTTTAGTCTTACAGGAAACATTAGCCAGGAGAGGGGCAAGTGAGAGGCCTAATAGAAGGAAAAGGAAGTAGCTATTCCTAGCAGAGGGTGAAGTTCATTTGGGGGATTCCTTCACTGTAATCAGTATCTATCTTGTTGGCCAGGATTGGATTAATTTAAGGATATACAAAGATCTATAGATCTCACTGGGTCATCTATATTTTACTGAGGAGTAGGAAGATTAATTGCAGGCACCTGTTTGTCTAGTCACCCTCATTCACGTAAGCAACTTTGGAAATTCCTCTCTCATTCCAGAAACTTCTCAGCCTCATGCTTCTATGAAGCCTGAACATGTGTCTGGAAAAAAGGCAACTGAGACCTCGCTTTCCCCAAGCAGTAGAATCAGCCAATCTCAGCAAAGCTCCAAGTTTGTCTTAAGAATCTGGAAGGCTAAGAACCACTGCAACAACCCACATGTTAGGTAAGCTCCCTGCCCCCACCCCACTTCCCACGACAGACCCCTAGACAGAGATGTGCATGCAGGGTTGGGTAGATTGTTTGGTTTTGATGGGGAGTAGAGTGATAACACCTGGATGGGAGTGAGGGAACCAGAATTTGGTACAGGGAGAAGTTGAACTGTGATGCTGTTGCAACAGAGAACTCTGCTAAGGTTTTGGGGTGCTAGGTGCAGTGCAAAATTGCCCGGGTGAGGCAGAGTGTGGATCTTTGTGTCCTGTATTGGCCCAGTCATTTGCTGCTGGTTGACCACAGAGAAGGGCTGTAAACATATGCAAGGCAGCTCGCTCTCGCTGAGGGCAGTGCCAGGAGGAGGATTCAGCCCTGACACACCAACAGCTAGTGCTGCAGCTGCAGCTGCAGGAAGCAGAGGATCTACTATAGCTTGCTTGCTGTGTAACTGTGAGTTGTGTTTAAGGTTCAAAATCTAGGAGAAATTTTGAGCTATTGATTTATACAGAGGAAGAATAGGGGGTGGGGGAATGAGAGAATTTCATCTAGAGGTTGACTTGGGAAGGGGAGGGAATAGGGAAGTGATACAATTAGCAGCTTTCTGCAATAGAGATGGACGGTGTAGGGCTGGATGACCTCAGAGGCCATTCCAGCTATGTCTGTGGTTGATGGAGAATCCACGCATTTTTAATAACTTATTCATTTATTTATTTTCATTTTATTCAAATGGCAGAGAAATATCCATTCTTCTATTTGCTGATTTACCCCTCAAATGCCTAAGGGCCTATAACAGCCAGGGCTGGGCCAGGCTGAAGCCAGGAGCCCAGAACTCCATCCATGTCTCTCATGTAAGTGAGAGCATTAGTGGAAAGCTGGACTGAAAGCATGGAGTTAAGGCAGGACTCTAACCAGGCACTCCAATATCAGATGTGGGTATCTCAAGCAGTGACTCACTGCTGCACCAAACACCCATCCAGTGCACATCTCTTTTTGACCATAGAAGTTAGCAGCCAGTTTTGTGGTACAGTGCTTACATTCCATATGTGTACTGGTTAGAGTCCCAGCTATTCCACTTCTGATTCAGCTCCCTGCTAATGCACCTGGAAAAGTGGTGGAAGATTGCACCTATGTGGGAGATCCAGATGAAGTTCCAGGCTTCTGGCTTTGGCCTATCCTACCCCCGGCCGATGTGGCCATTTGGGGAGTGAACCAGTAGATGGGAGATTCTCTCTCTCTCTCTCTCTCTCTCTCTCTCTCTCTGTGCGTGTGTGTGTGTGTGTGCGTGCGTGTGTCCCTTTCTCTCTCTGAACTCTGCCTTTCAAATAAGTGAATCAATTTTTTAAAAGATTCTCTTCTTGGAGCTGGTGCTGTGGCGCAGCGGGTTAAAGCCCTGGTCTGAAGCACCAGCATCCCATATGGGCGCTGGTTCTAGTCCCGGCTGCTCCACTTCTGATCCAGCTCCATGCTATGGCCTGGGAAAGCAGTGGAAGATGGCCCAAGTCCTTGGGCCCCTGCACCCGAGTGGGAGACCCAGAAGAAGCTCTTGGCTCCTGGCTTCAGATCAGCATAGCTCCAGCTGCTGCAGCCATCTGGGAAGTGAACCATCGGATGGAAGACCTCTCTCTCTGTCTCCTCTCTCTCTATAACTCTGTCTTTCAAATAAATAAAATAAATCTTAAAAAAAAAAAGATTCCCTTCTTTAAAACAGAAAGAAATTATGGAACTAAACAATGCAACACCTGGGAACTTAACCTAGTAGCATAGAATCACAGACATGACACATAGGAAGCACTCAGTAAGTGTCTTTTTGAATTGAATTGCATTACGCTGGCTTGGCAATCCTGACTGAGACCCATTAGATCTCTATGCTGAAAGTAGGGAAAATTTTCTTTGCATACAAGCACAAGTCTGCCTGCCTTGACTTAATCTCCCACAAGGATCTGGATGTCTGATTTGTAAAGTTCATCAAGCCCTTGGAAGAAAAGGTGAAAAGGTAGAGCTTTTAGACACTGGCAAAACAAACATCACTGCTCCCAATGGTTTCCTCCATGGCTGATCCTTTATATTCCGACAGTATTTTCCCTGTACATCTCACTTAGAATCTCAATTAAAGAGCTTTGTGGGGCTGGCACTGTGGCAGAGTGAGTAAAGCTGTTGCCTGTAGTGCTGGCATCCCATATCAGCACCAGTTCGAGTCCTGGCTGCTTCACTTCCGATCCAGCTCTCTGCTACCACCTGGGAAAGCAGTAGAAGATGGCACAAGTCCTTGGGTTCCTGCACCCGTGTGGGAGACCTGGAAAAAGCTCCTGGCTCCTGGTTTTGGATCAGCACAGCTCCATTCTTTGAGGCCAATTGGAGAGTGAACCAGAGGTTGGAAGACATCTCTCTTTCAGTCTCTCTGCCTCTCCTCTCTCTGTGTAACTCTGACTTTCAAATAAATAAATAAATAAATCTTTATTTAAAAAAAGAGCTTTGTGTTTTGTTTCTTGTTTCTGAAGTAGGCAGCTGACTTCTCCTTGTATCATGAATTTCCACAGAGGAGGATCTCAAGATTATCCCACCTTGTCTTCCCACAGTGAGGGATGATACTCAAACTAATTCAGCACAGGCTCTAACTGATTAAGATGGACACAGGTTTAAGCATTTCATATGCCCATACTGGTGTGTACAGCTGAAGACTGGTTCTTCACACAGAAGCCATACAATAAAAAAATTGAGGTGAATATCATCAGTTTAATAGTCCTTTACATGGAAAATAATGACTTTTTTCAGAAGTCAGTGGCTTTCTCTTACCAAAATATGATCACAATAATTTGTTCTTCCATGATTTATATTCTATAGGAGAGTGAAATAATTTTGAAGAACTTTGCAAGAAATAGACACTATGTATCTCCATGGTCCAGCACGGTAGTGACTAGCCATCTATATAAAATTGTACAGTATAGGATGCAGGGCTGGTGTTGTGTGCAGCGGAGTAAGCCATATCCTGCAACATGGGCATCCCTCATGAGCACAGGTTCAAGCCCCAGCTGCTCCTTTTCCAACCTAGCTCCTCTACTAATGTGCCCGGGAAAGCAGCAGAAGATGGTCCAAGTTCACATGGGACACTAGAATGGAGTTTCTGTCTCCTGGCTTTGGCCTGGGCATTAGAGCCATTTGGGGAGTGAACCTGTGGATGGAAGATCTCTCTCTTTTTCTCTGTCCTTCCCTTTTTCTCTGCAACTCTGCCTTTCAAATAAACAAACAAATGTTTTAAAAATATATAAGATGTTAGTTATATTGGAATGTCAATTTTTGAAGCACAATTCTGTAAGTATGTTACATCTAATATTTGGGGCATACTTAAACTATAGAACTATCTGTCAGGGCCAGTGCTGTGTTGTAGTGGGTAAAGCCACAACTGTGGCACCAACATCCCGGAATATGGGGCCAGTTCGAGTCCTGGCTAATCTACTTCCAATGCTATTCCCTGCTAATGAGCTTGGGAAAGCAGTGGAGGATGGCCCAAGTGCTTGGGGCCCTGTACCCACCTGGGAGACCTGGAAGAAGCTCTTGGTTCCTAGCTTCTGACTGGCCCAGCTCTTGCCATTGTGGCCATTTGGGGAGTAAACCAGAGGATGGAAGATCTCACTCTCTGTCTCTCTCCCTCCACCCCACTGTGTAACTCTGCGTTTCAAATTTGAAAGGTAGAGTTACAGAGAGAGGTAGAGACAGAGAGAGAGGTCTTCCATCCGCTGGTTCACTCACCAGATGACCCCAGCAGCTGGAGCTATGCCGATCTGAAGCCAGGAGCTTCTTCCGGGTCTCCCATGTGGATGCAGGGGCCCAAGGACTTGGGCCATCTTCTATTGCTTTCCCAGGCCATAGCAGAGAGCTGGATCGGAAGAGAAGCAGCCGGGACTAGAACCTGTGCCCATATGGGATGCTGGTGCTTCAGGCCAGGGTATTAACCTACTGCGCCACAGTGCCGGCCCCATAATTTTTTTTTTTTAAGAACTATCTAAGCCGGCGCCGCGGCTCAATAGGCTAATTCTCCACCTAGCGGCGCCGGCACATCAGGTTCTAGTCCCAGTCTGGGCGCCGAATTCTGTCCCTGTTGCCCCTCTTCTAGGCCAGCTCTCTGCTGTGGCCTGGGAGTGCAGTGGAGGATGGCCCAAGTGCTTGGGCCCTGCACCCGCATGGGAGACCAGGAGAAGCACCTGGCTCCTGCCTTCAGATCAGCGCGGTGCGCTGGCCGCAGTGCGCCAGCCGCGGCGGCCATTGGAGGGTGAACCAACGGCAAAAGGAAGACCTTTCTCTCTGTCTCTCTCTCTCTCTCACTGTCCACTCTGCCTGTAAAAAAAAACAAAACAAAAAAAAAAAAACTATCTGTTACTTATTTGAAATAGATAATAAACTGGGCATCCTGTACTTTGTTAATTAAATCTAGTAAATTTACACTGGACTATCTAAATGTAAATTAATTACAATGTAATTAAAAGTCTAGAATTCAGGGGCTAGTGCTATGCCATAGTAGACTAAGCTTCTACCTGAGGTGCCAGCATCCAATATGGGTGCCAGTTCCTGTACCCGCTGCTCCTCTTCCAATCCAGCTCTCTGGTTATGGCCTGGGAAGGCAGTGGAAGATGACCCAAGTGCTTGGGCCACAGTACCCATGTGGGAGACCCAGAGGAAATTCCTGGTTCCTGGCTTCAGGATGGAAGACCTTTCTCGCTGTCTCTCCCTCTCTCTGTCTGTAACTCTACCTCTCAAATAAATAAAAAAAAATTTTCAAAAAAAAATTTAGAATTTAGTGCTTCAATCTCACTAGCTCCAAGTGTTCAGTAGACACATGTGGCCAATATGAGGGTTTTCAAAATTGTCATGAAAAACACATATTAGGAAAAAAAACTTTCCATCATTTTCAAATTTTTTTGCATCAAAATAAACCTATCTTTTAATTCCACTTCCATACACTTTCTGAAGTTACTGTCCTGAACAGCACCAGCATAGTACAGTTCCATCGTCACAGAAAGTTCCACTGGATGCTGGTTTTGCCAAGCAAAGGACAGAAGGAAAGCTCTGTGTACTTTACAGGTTATAAAAAGTTCTATTTGGTCGGGGGGCAGACCTTGAGCCTAGCAGTTAAGATACCTTCATCCCACATCAGAGTACCTGGGTTTAATCCCCAGCTACAGCTCCTGACTCCAGCTTCCTGCTGGTGTAGACTCTCAGAAGCAGCAGTGATGACTCAAGAAATTGGATTCCTGCCGGCGCCGCAGCTCACTAGGCTAATCCTCCACCTTGCGGCGCCGTCAGGGCGCTGGATTCTGTCCCGGTTGCCCCTCTTCCAGGCCAGCTCTCTGCTGTGGCCCGGGGAAGGCAGTGGAGGATGGCCCAAGTGCTTGGGCCCTGCACCCCATGGGAGACCAGGAGAAGCACCTGGCTCCTGCCATCGGATCAGCGCGGTGCGCCGGCCGCGGCGGCCATTGGAGGGTGAACCAACGGCAAAAAGGAAGACCTTTCTCTCTGTCTCTCTCTCACTGTCCACTCTGCCTGTCAAAAAAAAAAAAAAAAAGAAAGAAAGAAAGAAAGAAAGAAAGAAAGAAAGAAAGAAAGAAAGAAAGAAAGAAAGAAAGAAAGAAAGAAAGAAATTGGATTCCTGCCACTATATGGGGTCCTAGATTGAGTTCCTGGCTCCCAGGCTGAGCCAGCTGCTGAGGGCATTTGGGAAATGAACCAGCAGATGGGAGTGGTTATCTAACATCTATCTGTCTGTCTGTCTGTATGTATGTATCTCTTTGCCTCTCATATACATTTTTATAAAAAGTATGTTTGGGCCTGGGAAACTACTAGCAAATCCTGGAAGTCACCTCTGACACAACAAAGAAGTCAGTCTCCCTGTCTCTATCTGTTACTGTTACTGAATATGTAGAGTATTTTATTAAACTGTAGAAGGCACCTTTGTACCAATGAAGGAGTTAATATGAAAGAAGCCACTCTTGGGGCTGGCACTGTGGTGCAGCGGGTTAATGCCCTGGCCTGAAGCGCCAGCATCCCACATGGTCGCCGGTTCAAGTCCTGGCTGCTCCACTTCCGATCCAGCTCTCTGCTATGGCCTGGGAAAGCAGTAGAAGATGGCCCCAGTCCTTGGGCCCCTACACCCACGTGGGAGACACAGAAGAAGCTCCTGGCTTTGGATTGGTGCAGCTTCGGCCGTTGTGGCTATCTGGGGGGTGAACCAGTGGATGGAAGACCTCTCTCTCTCTCTCCCTCTCTCTCTCTCCCTCTCCTCTCTCTGTGTAACTCTGGCTTTCAAATAAATAAATAAATCTTTAAAAAAGAAAAAGCTCTTGCAAGTCTACATTTGTGGACATGGCTGTTCTGCTTTTCTTATAGAACGACCAGGAAATAAACTAGCTATCAGATCAGAACAAGTGAAATCTTAAAAGATCCTAAATGAGAAATATATGTATTGCTATTTGACTTATTATCACATACTTTTTAAAATTATTCACTACTCATACTTTTTAAAAATTAAAGTCACAGAGCACCATCAACTAGAATATCTGCTTTATAACCCAAGTCACAGAGGCACTTGGTAAACATCACAGAAGCACTGCCTCTGTTAATTAGCCTTTTGGGAGAAACTGTGTTTTGAATTGCTGCCTGCAGCCCTGGGGGCCTTGTAAGAAACAGGAGCAGATCAAGGGCTAGAAGACACACGTGCCCCAAGTTGGTTTGTATAGATGGTACGGTGAACCTTGAACAGAAACTAGAGAACATGCCAAATGGAACCCACTGAAAAATGTGTGAAGCCTGTGCCAACATCAAACACAGAAATCGTGAAGAAAATGCTTGACGGACTTGATATAAGGTATCAAAAGTTTAAAAAGGCAAAATACAGGCAGAGGACTTCCATCTTAAAATATTGCTGTGTATGAGACATGGTAACAAAATAGCCACTGTATAAGTAAATGTCTATGAAAAAATGTTTTGACTTCTGGACTAATCAAAGAACTGCAAATTAAGGAGTGGGTATAGTGCCCACATCCCATAACAGAATGCCTGGGTTCCAAGTCCTGACTCGTCTCCTGACTCCAGTTTCCTGCTAATGCACACACTAGGAGGCAGCAGGTCCTGGCTCCAATAGTTAGGTCCTTACCACCCTCATGGGAAATGCAGATTGAGCTTCTGGCTCCTGGATTAAACTTAGCACAGCCTTGGCTATTGTA